ACTCTTCCATATTCTCAGCTTCAGAGCCTTCAAATGCTTCTCTATCTCATTCTTAACCTTGTATTAAGCTTCACACTTCCCTATTAACAATTTCATCCTAAGTAAAATCTCTCTTTATCACTCACTGCCATCTAACGGAAACCAACGCATAGTTGACCCTCCATTGCATTTCCAAATAATTCACAGAAGTTGACTTTCCATCATCCCCTTGTGGCTGTGGTACAACTTGTGGATTCAAACTGCAAAAGAGACACAGGCTTTGGATTAATAGCCACCTTTCTGTGTACTGGGTCACCAGAGCTTTTAAACAATGTGAAACTAGTCTCCGTGCCTATTTCAATGCAATATTGTAGTGATGTATATTTGTCTACCTTGTGTATATCTATCTACGTCCTCAACAAAATGTTCCAATGATTTTCTTCTTATTTTTCTCACTTTCTTTAAGAAGTATTAGTACTCTCCCCTTCTTAGAAAAAAAAATAAAATAAAAAGATTTGGTTAAACTTTAATATTATCTACAGTTTGGCCTGTACCAACATATGAAGCTTTTTCTTCTATATCTCTCAGCATATGTACAAAACCATTCTAAAATCTTCCTTGAAATCTGTATTCCTTGCCTTTGCTTACTATGCCCCATCAGCCAGCAATGTCTACTCCCCAAGTAGAAATTCTACATTCTACTCTTACTTCAAATCCTGAGCTGTCATATAGTTCCTTTAAAAATTGAACTTCCTTCCATTACTGTTTCCTTATTCCTAACTCCTATTGGGCATACAGTTAAGCACTTGACTACCTGCTCAAAGTTTGGCAATTTAAAGATACTCAGAACTGTCTCAAAAGACAGATCATGTCTGTCTATTTATAAGAGATCACAGTATTCAAGGCCTTATGTAGTTGTTCAGTGTCACAGATCATTCCAACTTACAGAAATCTTATTAACCACAGATAGGAAACAATCTATCTTGCACCATCTCCATGAAATTTGTCATTCTTAAGCTTACTATAATAGTCACTGGGTCAATACATCTTGTTTAAGGTCTTCTCTTTCTTTGGCTCTCCATATTTTCCAACATGATGTCTCTCTCCAAGGATTGGTTCCTCTTGAGAATATGCCCAAAGTAAGTGAGGTAAAGTTTCCCCACACTTGCCTATAAGGAGCACTCCAGTTGCACTTCTTTCAAGACATATTTGTTTGTTCTTCTTCTAGTCCATGGTATGTCCAATACTTTCCATCAAATCACAATTCGAAGGCATATATTCTCCTTCTGCCATCCTTACTCATTGTCCACAGGATGCAACTGAAAATTCCCTGGCATAAATCAGGTGCACCTTTGCCTTTATGTGGGCATCCATACTCTTTGGAATTCTGAAGAGATCCTTGATGGCAAATGTATGCAATGAAACATGTCTCCTGATTTTAAAGACCCTATGGAAGTCCTATTCAGCACATATGAAGCCAACGTAAGTTAGAATTAACTTGACAGTTACTGACATCATCATCAATACAATAGCTCTTTATTTTCTAGTATTTGCATTTTAGCAGGGGGCACTAGTGTAACAGTTCTTACGAAGGTCTGATTTTAACTCAAAGGTGGAAATTGGTGGTTTGACTCCAGTAGATTTCACAGGAGAAAGGTGGGTAATCTCCTCCCATATGATTTACAAACTTGGAAAACCTGCTGGAAGGCCAATTATGAGTCAGTTCCAACTTGATGGCAGTGAGTGGGAGCAAATTAATGTATTCCAGGAATACAGTGTACACTTCCAGAAGACAATTGACACATGTTTAGTTTTTATTGACTGTTAATACTATGATAGATGGAGAAAGGACTGAAGGTGTCAATGATTTCATTTTGTTTGGATCAACAATCAATATCATCAGTTCCAGCAGTGAGGAAATCTGAAGATTTATTGCATGGGGTAGGTAAGTCTGCTCTCAGGGACCTTTCCAAAATGCTAAGAAATTATATCAGTTTGGAGACTAAGATGTGCCTGATTCTGGTCATGATTTTCTCAATTGCCTGTTATACCTCAGAGTGCTAGACAATGAATAAGGATGACAAAACAAGAATTGATTCCTTTGAGTTATCATGCTGCAGAAGAGTACTGAATATCCCATGGACTGTCAAAAGAACAAGCAGGTATGTCTTGGAGAAGGAGCAGTAAAAGTGGTCCTTGGAGGCAAAGATGGAAAAGCTTCATCTTTCGTACTTTGGGCATGTAGCTAGGTGAAGCTATTCCTTAGACAGGGACAATATGTTGGAAAGATGAAGGGTCACTGAAGGAGTGGAAAACTCCCAATAAGATGGATTGACACGGTGATTTCAGCAATGGGCTCTCATGTGTCAGAGATGATGAGGATGATGAAGCATAGGGCAGAAGTCAGGTCAGCTGTTCACTAAGAATCATACTTGACTCAAGCACACATAACAATATTTGTTGAATTACTTTTATTCAAATCAGGTAATTTCTATCCTATCTTTTCAAAAGAGAGACACTGAATATTGTCCTTTTTACAGCAAGGATCACAGTCTGTCATGTATTGCATATGTCCTTACATATTCCAACTGCTCTAGACTAGAAGACTGCAGTGCTACTCACATTTATCTTAGCACTGAGTAAGCACTCAACATATGCACATTAAAGTGGCCTGGCTTCAACACTAATAGGTCTCCAACTCATTTAATCATCTTCTGTTTAAATACATTATCTTCAGGGTGATACATTCAGAAGAAAATAAGGACCATAGTAACATCCAGAAATCTTTAACTTGAGCACTGAAACAAATCCAGAAAAGAACCTGACTTGAGAAAAACTTGGAGTCCCTAGATCATTCTCATTTGGAACAACCATTTTTACAATTTAACATTCTATATCATATCTTTATTTTATTTCTGCTACTCTGACTGAGTCAACTCTGAGTACATTCTCCCTCTGGTCCGCCCATACTGACCCCAATCTATGTGACAGTGAGTTTCAGAGTCATTTAATGTCTTGAGGCTTTAGGTGGTGCAAATCTTTTTATAGGCTTCTTCAGACTTTTATAAAGCGGAAGTGATCTGCTGGTTTTAAATGTTGTTGTGAGTCAGGTGAAGATTTTTTGCTTATTTTTCAGGTTTTTAAAAAATTTTTATTATTGTTAGCCTAGTCTTGTTTTCAAGTAGGTGTTCTTTACGTTTGGAACATTTTATTACAAGTTTGTTGTATTCTATTTAGATATTCTCCTGTTTAGATAGTCTAAGGGTGGAGGGATAGCACAGGAGAGGAAGACCCTAAAGAGATGGATTGATGCAGTAATTGGATAACTGGGATAGCTGTGTCAAAGTCAGTGAGACTGGCCAAGGACATGGCAGGCTTCAGAGCTGTTGTATATAGGGTCACTAGAATTCACAAGTGAATTCATAGCACTAGCTGTTCAGTTGGACTCAATGTGACCAGTGTATGAGGTACAAGGAAAAGGCAAAGGGTGAAAGTTCTGTCCAGTATAGCATCTTAATTGCCCAAATAAGAAAATATTTAAGTCTTCTATGTGGAAGGTATTTAGTTTTCAAATGGTCAGTGTTGTGGGGTAAAATAAAATCATAAGGCTTTAATCTCACATGGTAAATGCATCCATGCATATACATTTACTTAAGCAACAAAAATTAAGCACCAAATGTATTCAAAAGTTCATGGTAGACTGTAGTCTCATTCAAGACCCTGCCTTCAAGAACGTATTTCCAAGGCAATACACAACAAAGAATTAATTGGCAATTTTATTAATTAATTATGTTAAATCATTAATCATTAATAATATTAATATCATAAGCCAAACTGCCTACGTATATTTGAATAGATATATTTATATGAAAAATAAACATGATTTGCAAATTTTCATTCAAATAAAAATTACATAAATAAAAGAAAAAATTTATTTCCATAACAAGTATTTTACTTCTCATCAATGAATATGTAAGGGAGTTTTGAATAGAACATTTAATTTAGCGTTTTTTAATCTAAACTAATAGAAACTATGTGGCCTAGGGCAAAGAGCTGTCCTGCAATCCCAAAGGCACATGGTTCAAATCCACCAGCTGCTCAATGGGAGAAGGATGAACAATCTCTTCCTTTGAGATTAACTGCCTCTGAAAAGTTGACGGAGGGTCAGCTATAAGTCGGTTCCGACTCAGCAGTACACAACAACAACAAAACGGGAACCTGTTTTAACAGGTTGTGTTTTCGGAAGGCTAGTGTTACAGAGATCTAAAGTTAACAAAAGAGGCTATTTTCTTCAAAGTGCCTGTAAATGTCACTTCCTCCAACAAAATTCTGATTCAGTGAAAAATTAATTCCCCAGGAAAGATAAATAACAAAGATGATACAATATGCTTTTATATAGTTACAAGAAGAAATGATATTGTTCAGAGATACCATGCAGAGAGGGCATTTGTTTGGTATTTGACACATTCATGAATATTGATGCATTTAACTTTGTTTTGTGAAAATATCTTTCATCATAAACAGATTTAAAAATTCTTGAGTATCTTCCATGTTGCAAATCAAATAATTCAGTACTCTGGTAAATTGCTGGTAGTTCAAACTGTCTAAGCTAATTCTCAGACTTGTATATTTTAGACCAAAGAAATGAATTCCCATAGATGAAAAATAAATTCCATCTTGTATGTAAATTATACTGCATGTTAAATAATAATAACAATTGTATTTAAATATATTCCAATGAAAGCCTCATTAATTCAACAAATATTCAACCAAATAAACATTCATTTTACTTGTTTACAAAATCAATTGCATATTGCTTATACTTATGAAGATATTAGAAGAAATAGAAGCATAGCACATAACATAAAATACTATAATCAAGATAAGTATAATAGGCACGATAAAAAGTAACTGAATTTAAACTTTAATATATAATCTGTCAACATTTTTACTCTATTATCAAGTATTCTCAATGAAAAAAATATTCTGACATGGATATTTATTCTTAAGAGAGTAAATACCTTAGGCAAGCCCGTTGTTCCAGATGTGTAAAGAATATACAAAGGGTGTTCAGAAAGAACGGGCACACAATCATGTGACTGTGCTTTTGACATCTCTTCATCCCAATCAAGATCACGACCTGGAGCCAAAGGGACAGTCTCCTACACAACAAAAAGACAGAAACATGCACCGAAAAAATCATGGAGAAACAAGAGTATCTATATATAAGTTTGAGCACTTGACTATTCTACCTGGCACTAATTATTGAGTTCATGATAAAACTCTTAAGGTCATCCAATCAACTCTCTGCCACTGTGTCAGCTATGACTTAAAGAGACCCACCATCTGGTGGGGCTCGATCACAAGTGGAGACCACCTATCATCCTCCCCTAAGCTGCTGGTGCATTTGAACTGCATGCAGTCTGTGGGCTAACAGCACAACTGACTGTGGACTACACCAGCAGATTTCCCTTCTTGTTGTTACGTGCTATCAAGTCAGAGCTGACTTACAGTTGACCCTCCAGAGGGTTGCAAGGGCAATTAATCACATGGGAGAAGATTCCACATCTTTTTCCTGTAAAGCAGCTGGTGAATTTAAACCCTGTATCTTTGCATTGGCAGTGCAATTCCTTACCACGAAGCCACCAGAAAGTCATAAAAAACACTAAAAGTTTTTATATTAGCTTCAGTTGAATAGAGAAAATACAATATTTTATTCAAAACTGGGGATATCCTTAAGAAATTCAGTCTGATCCAATCATGTATTTCCATCAAAAGAAATCAAGTTACAGAGGCTCATGTTTCTATAAGTTTATTTACACTAATAATTCCATAAATTAATTTCTGTTATCTATAGCTTATTTCTTTTACTTTGGAACTGCTGCATTTACAGTGAAATATCAAATAATACTTCAACTTTACAGTTTATTCAAATATCACTTAGGGGTAATACTAAGGTCATACTTCTATACAAAAACACATTAGATAATATTTTTGGCGTAATTTACTTTTGTCATTTAAAAAAAACACACACACAAACACAACTGGACATTCATGAAAGTATGAGATATAAAATAAATTCCGTAACTGTTAGTGTTCAAAGCACCAGGCTCCAGACAGAAAATTTCATGGTGATAATAAAGTTATAAATTAAACAGTTAAAACTTACAAGAAACTAGATAGACTATTCAAAAGAAATAAAGAGAGAAAAAAAATAGAGGCAGTGAAATAAGCCAGGTGCTGAAAAGCATGCATGTAGTTTATGGAAATTACTGCAATAGGGAGTCCTAACTATTAGAGTTAAGATGCAGTAAATGTCAGTTCTATTGTAAAACATTAACTAAGCTCTTGAGATCAAAAGCGGGTCTGACATCAGAAAGTCTGCCACTGTTGAATGTGTTAGTGGAGGCAAAGGAGATGAGACATTTTTTTCTGTCAAAATCAGTTAAGATCAACTACATAGAATTATTATATGTAATTAGGTAAGCCTTGTGATAAACTCAGAGACTCAGAGATGTAGTAAAGTCAGACTACTTCTATTTCCAAAGCTCCTTAAAACATCAATCAGTAGTAAAAATGAATACATTAACAAATTTGCAATTCAATATGACTTCGAAAATGTGACGCCTTTAATAATAAACACATTTAGAGAGAATAGAGGGATCTGGTGGCACAGTGTATACAGAGTTGCACTGCTAATCTAATCCCTCTTTGGTTGTTCACATCCAACAACAGATCTACAGAAAATAGATGGGTAATCTACTTCTACTTGATTTACAGAACTACCAGAAGTTTAAGCTGGTTTAAGAAGAGGCCATAACACCAGTGATATCTTTGCTGATGTCAGATGGATTCTGGATGAAAGCAAAGAATACAAGAAGAATGTCTATTTGTGTTTTTTTGACTATTCAGAGATATTAGACTGTGTGGATCATAACAAATCATGGCTCATGTTGAGAAGAATGGGGATCCCAGAACACTTAACTGTGCCTGTACAGAATCTATACCTAAACCAAGATGCTCCTGTGTGAACAGAGCAAGGGAACACGGAATTGATTATCATCCAGAAGGGTGTGCATCAGAGTTGTAGCCTTTCTTCATACTAATTCAATCTGTATGCTGAGCAAATAATCCATGAAGAAAGACTCTATGTAGGAGAGTATGGCATTAGGATTAGAGGAAGACTCATCAACAACCTACACTATGCTGATGGCACAACTTTGCTTGCCGTAAGTGAGAAGGAGATAAACTGCTGTAAGAGATTAAGGACGACAGTCTTTGGTATGGATTACATCTCAGCATCAAGAAGACAAAGATCCTCACCACACACCCAATAGTCAATATGGTAAATGGAAAAAAGATTGAAGCTATCAATGATTTCTTCTTGCTTAGTTCAACAATTAACGACGCCCCTGGTACCAGCAGTCAGGAAATCAGGAGACATATTGCATTGGGTGAGTCTGCTGTCAGGGACCCTCCAAGATACTGAACAACAATAATGTCAGTTTGAAGACTAAGGTGAACCTGATTCAGGCCATGGTTTTCTCAATCATCTGCTATGCATTAAAGGGCTGGAAAATGAATGAGGACGACTTTTGCATTGTCGTGTTGGAGTTCCATTTCAATCTCAAATGAATATCCCATGAACTGCCAAAGGAAAAAACAAACATGTCTTCAAAGTGATCCTTGGAAGCAAGGATGACAACCCTTTCTCTTTCATTCTTTGGACATGTAGCTAGCCAAGGCTATTCCTTGGACTGGGACTTCCTGGTTGGAAATATGGAGGGTCAGCAAAGGAAAGGAAGACTTCCAATAAGATGGATTGACACTGTTACTTCAGCAATGGGTTCTAGTGTCTCAGAGATGATGAGGATAGGACAGAATAGAGCCAGTTTCAGGCTTGCTCACAGATTTATGCATAGTGTTGCTATGATATAGCATCTAAGTATAACAACAAAAAACCTGCTTGAGGGTGAATTGATAGTCTAGTGCTAAGTCTAGTGGTTCTGTCAGTCTAGTGGTAATTAACACCCTTAGTACGAACAGTCGGGAAATAAGAAGACACACTGTACCAGGAAAATATGTAGTTAGGGACCTTTCTAAATTATTGAGGAGTGCTGCTATCAGCTTGAGGACTAAGGTGCATCTGATTAAGGCCATAGTCTTTCTTATTACTAGCTATGCATCTGAGACCTGGAAAATGAATAAGGATGACAGAAAAAGCATTGATGCCTTTGAGCTGTGGTGTTGGAGAAGAATACTGAACATCCCATGGATGGCCAAGAGAATGAAAAGATATGTCTTGGAGAGTGTGCTGCCAGAGTGCTCTTTGGAGGCAGGAATGATGAGACTTTATCTCACATACTTTGGGCATTTTCTAGGAGGTGCAATTCCTTGGAGAGAAACATGATGTTGGGGAGGGCGGAGGGTCAGAAAAGGAAAGAAAGACTCTCAACCAGGTCGATTGACATGGTGACTGCTGCAATGGGCTAATGCGTGTCAAGAAGTGTGAAGATGGTTTAGAACAGGACTCGGGTCAGATTTTTTTGTTCATAGGGTTACTATGAGTTATACTTGGCTTGATGGCACCCAACAGCTAAAGTGGTAAGAAGCTATACTGCAATAAAAAAGGTATGCAGTTCAAGTCCACCAGCTGCTCCCTGGAAGAAGGATGGTTGTTTGAGTTCCTCTTGTGTGATTTACTGGGTCTGAAAACCTGCTGGAGGGTCGGACACAATGGCACACAATAACAGCAACAGCAAACCTACTGGTAGTTCAGCATCTGTAAGTCAGTTAGGACTTGATGGCAGTGAGACTGGTTTTTGTTTTGTGGGATTGGTTTTTCTATCTGTATTAGAAATGCATCATGATGGTAAAATTTCAGGCTCTACCAGCTTTTTAATGAGCACTCCATAGGTCCTGGTTATGATATCTCAGAAAAGAAAAATTGGTAATTATAAATCACATATTGCTGTGTATTTTGAAGTATCAGATGAAGACAATTAATTTCAAACCATTAACTATCAAACCATTAATTATTATTATAATTATTGCTGTTGTTGTTAGGTGCCACCAAGTTACCTGCAGCTCATAGCAATCCTATGTTCAATAGCTTTAAAGCCTGCCCTGTCCTGTGCCAGTCTCACTGATTCCAACATACCTACTCTCATTGCCCTAGTTACTGAATCAATCCATCTCATCTGGGATCTTTCACTCTTGCACTTTCCCTCCACTCTTCTGAGCATGATAACCTTCTCCAAGGAACAGTCCTTTCTGGCCACATGCCAAAATTATGTGAGACAGAGCTTCAACATCCTAGTCACCAAGCAGAAACTTGGTTTCACTTTCTCCAAGAAGATCTATTTGTTTTCAAAGTGGTCCATAGTATGTAAGACTCTTCTCCAGCACCACAAGTCAAAGGCATCAATTATTCTTCTGTCATCCTTAATCATTATCCAGCCCTCTAACTGGAAGCAGGAGTGACATCTACTTCCTAAACAACATGCCTCTGGAAACTCTATGAACTGAGAAATAACAGTAGTTATAGGCTTCAAGTCTTTTGTTCATAGAGTCACTATGAGTTGTGTCCAACTCGATGGCAATCAACAACAACATAAGCAATGTCTAACAAGGAATTGCAAAGACCATGGCCTGGATTAGGCACACCTTAGTCTCTAGACTGACATCATTGCTTCTCAGTACTCGGGAAAGATCCCTGAAAGCAGGTCTACCTAATGAAATCCACCTTTTAATTTCCTGACTGCTGGTGCCGAAAGTGTTGATTGTGGAGCTAAGCAAACTGTAACTGTTAACAACCTCAAACTCTTCTCCATAAATCATGGTGCTGCTTCAGAAAGCAGGGTTGTGTCATCTACATAACGTGTATTGTTGATGAGTTTTCCTCCAATCCTGATGCCACATTCCTCCTCTTAAAGCTCAGCCTCCCAGATAATCTGTTCTGCATATAGATTGAAAAGGTATGGAGACAGGACACATCCTGACTCACCCTCTCCAAGACAGACCTAATTGTTTTCTTGGCAGTCCAAAGTATGTCCAAGACTTCTTTAAGGGGATACTGGTGGAAAGGTAGTTTCATTTTTGTATTATTCCTTAAAATCTGTCATTGTTACCTTTGGTTTAGGAGTAAAAGCCATGTTTTCACCTTCTCTGGCAAAAAAAAAGCAATCTTGGTTAATGAGAATCACCATGAGCTTTGTAATTTGCAGTTATCTAAGTTCAAAGTAAACCCAGTCAACTGGGCTTAATTACAGCTTAAACAGCAGGTCTAATACAAGGGACAAGTGACATCCATACCCTCCATCTGAAGTGAGATTATGATAAAATAATTAGGAGGACCAGATGAAGAGAATGAGATGACAGAAAATGAGCTAGCCGTGGGGTAGGAAGAGACTTGCATTAAAATGAAAGCAGCTTACATTAATATATGCTGACATAGCTATAACATCAATGTCTATATTAAGGATATTTATAATTGTAACATACAGCACTTATCTTCCTTGTTAGAAGTCATTACACTAGAGTTCAAATTATGGCTCCCCCATTTACAAGTGATAACTTAGACCTTTGCTCTCCATGATTCAATTTCTATATCTAAAAAATGGGTTACTCAGGTCTGCATTAGAAAGGGTGAAATCAAGTTTCTTCTTGGAGGCTAGAATTTTGAAGCTCCATCTTACATATTATGGGCATGTGACTGAGAGGAACCAGTCCTTGGAGAAGGACATTATGCCAGGAAGGGTGGAGGGACAGCACAGAAGAGAGAGACCCCAGATAGGATAGATTGATACAGTAACTGGAGCAATGGGGGTTGGTGTGTCAAGAGTTAGTGAGACTGGCTCAGGACAGGGAAGGGTTCAGAGCTGCCGTACATAGGGTCACTATGGGTCACAGGCACATAATAACAACAACAGCAAAGAGTACTCTGGTGGCTTAGTGCTAAAAAGCTGCACTGAAATCCAAAGGCATATTGCTCAAATTCACCAGATGCTCCATGGGAGAAAGATGGGCAGTCTCTCCTTATGTGATTTACTGCCTCTGAAAAACAACTAGATGGCCTGCTATGGCTTGGTTATGATTAGATGGCAAATAAGAATGCCACCTACTTCATTGGTTTGTGAAAGTAATCTATCTAGGAAAAGCATTTGAAAATATTAGCGCTTAGCAAAGAACCTCATAAATGGTTATTAAATGACACATGAACTCAAACACATATTCATTTAAATGAACTTTATGTCATGTTTCTGGGTTTCCTTTAATATTCTCTTACTCAAAGCCCTTTATTGTTGACTATGCACTGTTGGTCCTTGGAAAAGGACATCATGCTTGGAAGGGTGGAGGGACAGCGCAGGAGTGGAAGAAGAGATGGATTGGTACAGTATCTGGGGTAATGGAGGTAAGGTGTGTCGAAATTAGTGAGACTGGCTCAGGACAGGGAAGAGTTGACAGCTGCAGCACATAGAGCGGCTATAGGCTTCAGGTGATTCAACAACAACATATTGTACTGGTTGGTTTTTATTTAAGCTTCTTGTATGGAGTCAACAAGACCTCATGGAGGGCCTCTGTATTTACAAGTCAGTTGCTATTTTAGTGTGGAGAAACATTCTTCTAAGTGGTACAGAACTCTTCCGTCAATTTGCTGTACTGAGGTAACCTGGGGTTGCTGTGATGCTGAACCTTGTGCCACTGGGATTCAAATGTCATAATGATTACGCATATTGGACAGTGTTTGGTGGAGCTCCAAGTTTAAGACAGGTTTGGAAGCAGGAGTGGCATCCACTTCCTAAACCACATGTCTCCAGAAATTCTATGAAGTTTGAGAAACAATGACACAGAAAGGCTTCAGGTCTTTTGTTCATAGGGTTGCTATGAGCCATGATTGACTCAATGGCATTGAACAACAACAACAACAACAACAGCAACAACATGCACTGCTTTGTTTAAACAACAGCAAAGTATATACCTGAAGACATCTGAAGGAAATGCAAATTCTTCTTTAATACAGTAATAACATTGAAGTCATAAAGTGCATCAGTTGGTGAACCATGGACTAAAACTTTATGAGACTTTGACGTGGTAACAGAAATTGCCAGATGGTAATCACAATGACACAAATACTTTGTCATTTAAGAATTTTCTGAAGCTAATCTCTCAAGCAACTGTCTAAAGCAGTTTGAATTTGTTCTTCAGTTCCTTGAGCTTAAGAAATGCTGAGAGAGTTCAGCCATTTTTATTTTCTGACTCCAGCTCCTTGTACATTTC